TTATCAGATAACCTGTGCTCCCCTGTTTGATCCAGCCTAAACTGGGTACAGGAAATATGTTTGGAAAGTAAAGGTGGTCAGTCTGATACTGACTACATCACCAATCAAGTACACAGTGATCGATCAAACTCTGGATCTATCACCATCTATCCTAATAATGATTTGCTTCCTTTACTTATCTATACATACTGCTTATTTTACTTGATTGTTTACTAGTTCTTACTTTGCCTCTTCTTCTTGTCCTTTGTTCACCGGTTGTAAGCCCCTGTCGAAGGTCCTGGTTGTTCGTCCATTTAAACTTTGGCTTTGTGCCTGGGCCTGAGTTTTGCGAGTGTATCCATTTTATGGTTTATTTGTTGCAGTTGCTTGTTCCTTGCCGTTCGAGCTGATGCACTTCGACTTCGAAGGAAGTCCTGAGTTAGTCAATTCATATGACATGCTTGTTGGGAAGGCAATGGGTCTATTCTTGTTGTCCACACAATGAGGTCCCAGAACCCACACAGGGAATCTTGCATTACTTACTATCGACGTCTGTGGCTTATATGTTGCGAACGTGCTTCATAATGATGGGATACCAGGTTCGATCCCAGCAATTTGGCAGCAGACCGTCCTCGTTGATTTCAAAACCGCTGCTGAGAGCTGACTGGTGGCACTTTGTGTCACCTGTTATTTATCTCTCGGTTTTTTTGTCCTGGTGAGGTAGAACGTCAATCATTCAGGAAAAATTTCCATACCTCATAATGGGGAAGGGTAGACCTACTGTTCCCTAGCAAGCATGTCATAAGAGGCGACTAGGGATTTTGTTGAAATCGGATGTGTTGGCCCAAAAGCCTATCTATTCACCAATGCAACACTACTACTATTACGGGTTAACGCAAATAAAAAGAAATGCAGAGATATTATGTCATAAAGAAAAAAAAACTAACTTGAAGGTTCATCTATTTCCTTACCAGAGACACTGGGATCTGTCAAGGTGCATTGTGTGTGTGTGTGTGTGCGCGCGTGAGGGGCAAAGAGAGAGAGAGTAACGATATATAGCAATGTGATATCTAGAGGACCACAAAACGGTTACTAAGTAACTTGTAGTTCAATGTGAATGGGTTTTCATTCAGCATCATAAAAATAGAGAGCCGGGCTGAAAATTTAGAGTTAAGAATCTACCCAAAGTATTTCCGGATCCTCGCCAGTGCAACGGTGTTCGTATACTGCGCTGAGATTCTTCAGACTCGGGCTTGAGTTAGTAGAACGTAGCACTTAAAGGTTGCACCCGTGTGCCATGATGTTGATTCGTTGAATAAACAAACATAAACATGAACACATTAGGACGTGTCCAGAATGCCGCACCTATAACCTAACGTTTAATTTTGATGTAGGAAGCCGCCTTGGTGTAGCGGCTAGGCGCTCGCCTGCGGGTCGAAAGGTCGTTGGTTCGGTTCCTGACGGGGGCCGGCTCAAAAAATGACCTTGGTTCCCAGGTCGACACAGCCTTGAATGGGTACCAAGTGCAGTCCTAGGAAGAAAGGTGGCCGACGTGATGCTGACCACATCACCCACCTAGTGCCGATTTGTCTTTGAAATATAGGTCTAGCCCTATATGCCCAATGCGCCTGAAAGGCGTGGGAAAGGGTCCTTTACTTGACTATAATTCTAATCTATCTTAGTATAATCTGGAGGCCGCTGTGGTGTAGCGGGCAGACGCCTAAGAATCCTTCTTCTTCATCTTTTTCTTCTTCTTCTTTTTCTTCTTCTTCTTTTTCTTTTTCTTCTTTTTCTTTTTTTTCTTCTTCTTCTTCTTCTTTTCTTTCTTCTTCTTCTTCTTCTTCTTCTCTTCTTCTTCTTCTTCTTCTTCTTTTCTTCTTCTTCTTCTTCTTCTTCTTCTTCTTCTTCTTCTTCTTCTTCTTTTCTTCTTCTTCTTTCTATTCTTCTTTCTTTCTTTTCTTCTTCTTTTCTTTTTCTTCTTCTTCTTCTTTTTCTTCTTTTCTTTCTTCTTCTTTCTTCTTCTTCTTCTTCTTCTTCTTCTTCTTTTCTTCTTCTTCTTCTTCTTTTCTTCTTCTTCTTCTTCTTCTTCTTCTTCTTAAGATTCTTCTTCTTCCGTTTCTTCTTCTCTTCTTCTTCTTTTCTGCTGGCATTTTGTTGACCTTCTTCTTCTTCTTCTTCTTCTTCTTCTTCTTCTTCTTCTTCTTCTTCTTCTTCTTCTTCTTCTTCTTCTTCTTCTTCTTCTTCTTCTTCTTCTTCTTCTTCTTCTTCTTCTTCTTCTTCTTCTGCGCTCATCCTAAGATGTAATAGTGTTGTTTCCGTTTACAGCGTGACTACGATATTTGCACATTTCGGCCGACACATCCGACTTCTGCTGGCATTTGTTGACCGGGTTAGCCTTCCTGGTTACCTGCGGATCCGAAGGTCATGGGTTTAAACCTCAACGGTGGTCGGCTTTTTCAAAAATGACATTGGCTGCCGAGTCGACCCAGCATTAAATGGGTATCCTTCATACTGCTGGTATTTTATGTGTTTGTAAGGCAGTTTCAATCGATCGATTGATCGGGTTGTCCCCTCCGATTTCTACCTGAAAGCTTACCACTCGAGGCACACAAATCTCAGTCTAGATGGCATGCAGCAGAGCAGATACTAGATACCCAGTTCAACCTTTAAAAAATGTTATAATTTGGGCACCAGCTTGTAACCTGCAGCGTTGTGTGTGTTGGAAAGTAGCTTATTACATACCTGGATACTTGACATGGAACGCCTAAGCACCGTAAGAGAGGGGAATCTGTGCACCTAGGGATATGTCCTGAGTGCTGTGAAGATAATCCAACTCATAACTGTACACTGCAGACTATATGCTGAGTGTTAAAACCCTAACAATCTTTCACAAACTGGGTAGATATAGTTTCACTCAGAATTGTGAGCTAAAATATATCTGCTAAATCCAGCCATCTTCTTGAGTGACATGCAAATTTTTCGTTATTTGAAGCCTACTCTGGCTCTTTCCAGGGGCCGCAATATAGCACGACCATAAATATGGCCTAATGGCTGAACGCGGTTTCTGAGACCTCTCCACGGTGATCCTCATCCACACGGTGGCACTTTGTGTCATCAGGTGTTTATTGTGTGATGTCCTAGTGGGGTAAAAATCTACCACTACTACTACTACTGTGAGCTAAAATCGACTTGTACAGTTATATCCAAGGGATCTAACTAGTGAAAGCTAAAGTGAAAAAACGACCGTTTTTCGGCCCATCCCCGATTTTGGGCTATAACTCTTGCACAAGGGACAGTAACAGTATTAGTTTAGGAAGATGTGTCTATAGGTAAGGATAACCCGTTTGGCGCAAGAAACTGTGAGCTCAGGCACTTTAAACCCCTTCCCCAAAATTAAAAAAAAGAGGGGTGAAAGGGAACCCCTACAATTTGTTTAGGGAAAACAGCGCCCTGCCATTTCTACCATGTTTAGAAGTTCATTTTATAAACCTTTGTTTATACCTTTAATTTTTTAAAACAAATTTAATCTATCTATTTATATAAGTATTAATCATCCCCTTGTGGGATGCAATTTTTCGTTATTTTGAAGCCCCACCCTGGCTCTTGCCAGGGGCCGCAATATAGCCCGGCCATAAAAATGGTCTAAAGACAATAGTAATTAATACTGCAACTACATACAGACAAGTATACAGGTTTAGTGGATAAACAGACCGACAGGACATATAGATAGACATCCAATATTATTTTTGTTAGGATCTGAACATGTACCACATGATAGGGTTTATCATTCTAGAACACATACTACACAACACCAACGGCCCTCTACCAACGCAAGTTATCCTAACCTTTGCTTGCATGTAACACACCACGCCATGTCCTCCTCATCCTTCTCGGCCGGCCGTGGTCAGTTGCCCAGTTGTTGCTGATGCTGACCGCACGTGGTCTCATCGCGGCCCAGGTGCCATTGACCGAGCCGAGAAAGAGGTTTCGGCTCGTTGAATACAACGGTGGTATGTTCAATGTTTAGTTTCGTTCTTAGATATTCATTTTCTTCACTAGTTAAACTGTGTAGGCCTTGATTATCAGTGTATATTATTGTTCAGGGATTTTATTTGAGTTCGAGCCGCTGGAGGCGAACTTTCACTTTTGTTAGGTAGGGTGCTTAACGCATTGGTGGTTAATGTATTGTTATCTGTTAACAACGTGAGTTTTGTGTTCAGGGAAATAAATAAATGTTGAATCGAGCACTTGCTCGATTCAACATAGAACTTGTAGTTCGTGCACGGGGTCTGTTTAGGCCTTGCCTATGAAGTAATACGTAGTTGTAGTCAGTTGTTGTAGTCGTGTAATACAATTATTAACTTATCCTTTGCCAGGACTTTGATGATCATGTTTCATAGCCCCTGCACAGAAGAGGCCTACTTTTTTCTGTTTTTGCTGTTAAGCGGGGAACTACTTTTTGTCCTTACAAAATTTTCTTTTTTCTCATTTCCATTCTTCTTTGTTTTTCTTTTTAATTCTTCCCGCTAGCAAAGACAGGCAGATAGACAGACAAACAGACAGATAGATAGATAGATAGATAGATAGATAGATAGATAGATAGATAGATAGATAGATAGATAGATAGATAGATAGATAGATAGATAGATAGATAGATAGATAGATAGATAGATAGATAGATAGATAGATAGATAGATAGATAGATAGATAGATAGATAGATAGATAGATAGATAGATAGATAGATAGATAGATAGATAGATAGATAGATAGATAGATAGATAGATAGATAGATAGATAGATAGATAGATAGATAGATAGATAGATAGATAGATAGATAGATAGATAGATAGATAGATAGATAGATAGATAGATAGATAGATAGATAGATAGATAGATGCTGGATATTGCAAGCAGTAGAGAACAGGATCGCCAACGATAGTCGACAAGGCACTAGCTGGTGAAGACGGTCAGCAGCTGAACCATTGCGCAACTTCCGCCCAAAACCGCGGGACATTGAAAGATGGCGACGTCTTCTAGTAACGTTATCACACTGAAGGGATCCACAGATATTGTCGCGGAGTTCTTTCGTAAGGCTAATACTTCAGCTTTGACATATTTTGAGGTTTTAATCAAAACACGTTTTTACTTTGTTTCATATGTGCTTACCCTCCAATGTGTGCGTTCGTGTAAAAACAGAACAAAACAAATTATGTCAGTGTCCTCTGCGTGTGTCAGCTGGGACAAAAGAAGATAAAAAAGGAGAAACGAATTCACGGAACATAAAATGAACTAGCTTATGGGAAAAGTAAAGGATTCTTTTCCACACCTTCTGGCGTATTGGGTATGTAGGGCTAGACCTATATTTTGAAGACCAATCTGAATCTGCACTCGGTGGGAGATGGGGTCAGCCTTCGGCCTGACGACTTCACCTGGTCCAGGTAGGCGTGAAATTATGTGGCATTGATTTTAATTTAACCCTGGGCCGACCTGGGAGCCAAGGTCATTTCTGAAAAAATTCCATCTTCGTCATAATAAAACCTAAACAAGATCTTCGAATCCGCAAGCTAGCGTCTCTAGCCACTACACCACCGCGGCTCTCTAAAGAAAGTGGGAAAGGAAAAACTGACGCACCACTACACACAGGAATATTCCGATGTTTCGACCAACACCTGTTTTTCAGTGTGTGATAAGGAATAAGAGAAACTTCTGCACAAGAGTTTTATAAGCACTCCTCTGAATAACGGTCCCAAATTATCTTGGTGCAAAAACGTAACCTTACACTGTAAGTTACAGGGCCACAGTAGTTGCTTCCGTTTGAGCTGCATCCATGACCTTTTTCACTTGTTAGGGTTAGGGCTAACCCTAACACCGCCACAAGAACCTGTCACAACAGTCCAGCCGTGAAACAAACATCTGAGTTTTGCAACCAGAACATTCTACTGTATTAATTTGTGTATAGCAAGCCATCTGATGGTCTGCCTGCCATATTTGCCGGGAATAAATCCTATTTTTACATATCATTGAGGCCCTGTTAGGCCCTATAATTTGAGACCGTTTCTCAGAGGAGTGCCTTTTTATGTGTGTTGCTGTGTGAACTACTGTGCTGCAATGTTCTTTATGTGTGTTACTGTGAACTACTGTGATGCAATGTTCTTTATGTGTGTTACTGTGTGAACGAACGCTACGCTACATCCAGGGGGATGACGATTGGGGATATGTTTTTTTAAGGGGGGGGGGGGGGGAAGGGGTTGAAAATGGCCATCTTGGAAAAAGTAAGAAATGTGGATAGACCGACACTCTCCTTGTATGTATACTGCTGGGTAATCAACAAGTTGACACTCATAGTTTTACACAGTTAGTAGATCTTCAGTCATCCCAAATACAACTGAGTAACTCGTTCATACATTTAACAGTTCAGAATAGCAGGCAGTACTAGTGAAGGATTTCATAGAACATGAGAGAATCAAATTCAAATGTAATGTCAAAAGAATATGCTCAGTGACACTAGGTTACAAACCAGTAACAGTGTAATGTCAAAAGAAGTTAGTTTACATGTTGATGTATTGTGCACATTCTTACATTGCATGCTCAATGAGACTAGGTTACAACCCAGTAACAGTGTAATGTCAAAAGGAGATAGTTTACATGTTGATGTATTGTGCACATTTTTACATTGTATGCTCTCTGTTAACTCTTTCTATCGCAATCAGTGCACTATGTGTGACTGGATATTATTCATGTGTACCACTCAGTGAGTTGAAATTTTTAGTTCTGCCAAATCAGTATTGTTTTGTGGAGCAGAAACACGGAGAACAACTAAGGCAGTTACTAATAAACTACAAACATTCATTAACTGGTGCCTGCACAGAATAGAGAGAATTAAATGGCATGATAGAATCACTAATTTTGAGCTTTGAGAGAGAAGTAAACAAGTTCAAGTGGACCAAGAAGTAAAGAAAGGACGCTGTTGATGGATAGGACACACGGGAAAAAAAATCTGAGAACAATCTAACTAGAATGTCTTTGCTCTGGAACCCACAGGGGCATAGAAATAAAGGAAGGGCAAAAAACACATGGAGAAGAGAGCTAGAAAATGAAGTTAGAAAGATGGGGAGAGCTCCGTGTAATGACGAAGGATAGAACGACTTGGTTGAGGGCCTATGCTCCATTGGGGGATAGAAAGGCAGAAGAAGAAGAAATGAGATTCCTATGAAGGGCTCTTAATGTAACAAGAAGAGATAAGATCGGGAATAAAACACATGGAGAAAGGAGCAGGAGAGTAGTTAAAAAGATGGGGAGAGCTGCATGTGATAGCAAAGGATGGAATGACTAGGCATGAGTTGGTTGAGGGCCAATGCTCCATGGGGGTGAAGGGGAGGGTGGTGGTTAGAAAGGCCGAAGAAGACTACTCAGGCAGTTATCTATGTTTCATAGTTTATTTTACTAAACAATTCTTTAAATATACCATACCATACAAAGCATACATGGAAGAGAAGAAGGACGTAGAGCACGGGGTAGACCAAGAACAAGATGGAAGGATAACATCAGAGAAACTCTACAACAGCACGATGTGCCTATGGTCGAGGCAGCCAGAAGAGCTAGAAACAGAACCTTATATCTCCCTCGACACCCACAGCGGTAAAAGAGGAAGTGAAGAAGATTCTTTAAATTTGTGTTTCCTTCAAGGATTGAGTTATCATTCTTGCCTCTCTCATATATTAGCTAGGACCTGATGAAAGAGTTAACAATCTAACAGAAGTTTTGAATACTTTTTCCACTCCCAGACTATGGTTTGAACAGTATCCTGTACCAGCGGGGACTGTACCCTGCGGAGACATTCACACACACTCAGCAATGGGGACTGACAATGCTGGTCACCTGCAACAAAGAGCTGCAGAAGTTCCTCGAGCAGATCATTTCGCAAGTGAAGAGTAAGTTTTTGGCTCTGAACTGAGTTGAAATGAGAACTGACATCACAGCACTGGGGGATAATGACATAAGTGATGTCCCCCCTGTGTGGGTTCCGGGGCCCTGTTATAGGGAAACAAGAACAGACCCACCGCCTACCCGAAAGCATGAGTCGACTAATTGGGAGCTTCCTTCGGAGTCGGAGTGCATCTGCCGGAGAGGCAAGGAACCAACAGTCTGCACACAAATGTGTCAGATCTGTTAAACGGATACATACGCAACACTGGGGTTCTGGAACAGGACTGCAGTCCAGAAGGGGACAAACTAACTACCAGAACTTTCCACCAGAGTTTACAGCTGGTGAACATGAAGAAGAAGAAGATAAGTGCTGTGTCCTCATCTTCAGCAGTTAGCCGATATTTCATATTCTGATGTTACCTGTAGCTGTCTGATTGTAAGTCGGTCTTGTCTTGTCTTGATTCAGTATCTTTCAGGTCCCTAGATCACTCTCCACTAAACCATGCTGTGATCTTCCATGCCGTCTGATCTTCCATGCCGTGCGATCTTTCATGCCGTGCGATCTTTCATGCCGTGTGATCTTCCATGCTGTGTGATCTTCCATGCCGTGTGATCTTCCATGCCGTGTGATCTTTCATGCCGTGTGATCTTCCATGCCGTGTGATCTTCCATGCCGTGTGATCTTCCATGCCGTGTGATCTTCCATGCCGTGTGATCTTCCATGCCGTGTGATCTTCCATGCCGTGCGATCTTTCATGCCGTGCGATCTTTCATGCCGTGTGATCTTCCATGCTGTGTGATCTTCCATGCCGTGTGATCTTCCATGCCGTGTGATCTTCCATGCCGTGTGATCTTTCATGCCGTGTGATCTTCCATGCCGTGTGATCTTCCATGCCGTGTGATCTTCCATGCCGTGTGATCTTCCATGCCGTGTGATCTTCCATGCCGTGCGATCTTTCATGCCGTGCGATCTTCCATGCCGTGTGATCTTCCATGCCGTGTGATCTTCCATGCTGTGTGATCTTCCATGCCGTGTGATCTTTCATGCCGTGTGATCTTCCATGCCGTGTGATCTTCCATGCCGTGTGATCTTCCATGCCGTGTGATCTTTCATGCCGTGTGATCTTCCATGCCGTGTGATCTTCCATGCCGTGTGATCTTTCATGCCGTGTGATCTTCCATGCCGTGTGATCTTCCATGCCGTGTGATCTTCCATGCCGTGTGATCTTCCATGCCGTGTGATCTTCCATGCCGTGTGGTCTTCCATGCCGTGTGGTCTTCCATGCCGTGTGGTCTTTCATGCAGTGTGATCTTCCATGCCGTGTGATCTTCCATGCCGTGTGATCTTCCATGCCGTGTGGTGTTGGTAGTCATGGCAATAAACAACCTTCTGTCTCATGAACTTTAAGTCGCTACTGACACAGATGATCTTCCATGCCATGATGTTAAATTGTCCCCATCTTCGGTCTCCCTTTGCCTCTTTTCCTCTCCAACTAACCTTTTTTCATGATGTAATTGTTTTCTCTTTCTCATACCGCACAACAAGCAATAAACACCCGGTGACACAAAGTGCCACTGTTCAGATGAAAATCACATGGGTGCCAGTCCCACAAACCCTTATCAAACGTTAGGATAATTTAGGGACCCCAACAACAGCCGGAGTGAGGCTTTAAAATAAACAATTGCATCCCATATTGGGAAAGCTGAAATGTAACACTTTCTTTCTTGTCTCAGTTGACAAAAGAAAAATTGCATTTAAATGCTACAAGTACAGATACAAAAATAACTCAAGTATCTCCAAAAGAAATTTCTGACCATATCTCTGGGGGATGGTTTTTTTTGGGGGGGGGGGGGGTGTTGTTGGTTCCTTTGCACCGTTTTTTGGGGGGGGGGAGGGGGGGTTCCTTTGCACAATTTATGGAACTTTGGGGTCGGGGGTAGTCCCCTTGCACAATAATAAGTAACTTAAGGGGGGGGGGGGGGGTACTTTGCTGCACAATTTTAGAGAAATTTGGCTCCGGCACCCCTGCTATAGACATGTTAAAAAGCCTAATAAAAATGTCTTGACAGAGATTAACTCACAGAATGAACTATTTCCTTACACCACAAAATGACAGCCTTGTGTGACAATTTGAACATTGGAGGGGATAAGAGAGAGAGAGAGACCAATAAAGAAATGTTTGGACAGTATGCATTTTGTCACATGAGAACCTTTAAACCAGAAATTATTGTCAGTGCACCAGTACTCTTTCTTTCCTCTACCTCTGTGTGTGTCGATCAGTAGCAATGTTTTTTTTCCCTGTGTTGTTGTAAAAGCTATTCCTTGTCTTTCTAAAAGGCTGGCTGACAGACATGACAGTTGAGAAGCTAGTTTTGGTGATCAAGGACATAGCTACAAATGAGGTGCTTGAAAGGTGGCAGTTCGACATTGACTGTGATAAAAGTGTGGACAGCAATACGTAAGTCTGTTTTTATATTTTTTAATGTAAGCGCATGTACAGCAATACGTACGTATGTTTTTATATTGATTAATGTAAGCGCATGTACAGCAATACGTACGTGCATCTGTTTCTGTATTGACTGTAATAAGTGTGTGTTCGGCAGCATATATGTACATTTGTTTTTATATTGACTGCTAAATGTGTATTTGAACAAAGAGGACAAACAATAGATTTCACGATTTATTGCCTGGCATATTTCGCTGTATCTCATCAGAAGCACAATACAGTAATCCTTGGACTACATTCACACCTGAATTGCTATTTTGCACTTCAGTTTGTGTTTCATATTGATTATTTATTGGTGTCACTCTGTGTGTTCCAGAGCCCTATTAGGAATAGGCCCAATGTCCTTCCAACAAGCATATTGACAAAAAAGAGGACTGGCTGTTTAGTAATTCGCTGAAATTGGATGTCAGGACGAAAGGCGCAGATATCACAGTCTAGCTGTAAACCACAATGTGCCAGCCACTCTTTTAAGGGCCAACAAGGAAGAAACATTTTTGTTGAACATAAAATGTTAAAGTCTAGAGGATTGACTTTATTGCACCGGGTTTTATCCTATATAGCTTGGTCTCCCTCTACAGAACTAGTCGCCCACCAAAAGCATCACACAAAGCATGAACTCCAGAGCTCTGGCAATGACCCCCCATCCCCGGGATCTGTGTAAAAATTGCACTCGTGAACTAAAGGACACAGCCATGAAACAAACCCATGATCTTCAAAACGTGAGGCAAACGGTTTGACCCCTTCGCCACAGAGACCTCCCTTTTGTTGAACATGTTCACATGTAGTTTTATTAAAAGTTTATATATATATTTCTTGAACCAGGAAACGGGAAGTTGCAGACAAGGAAATCAAAGAAGGCATACGTTCAGTCATTCGACAGATTACAGCATCCGTGACCTTTTTGCCTCTCCTCGACACTGCATGTAAGCTTTTACTCTTTGTTGTATGTTACACTGTTTTATAGGAGGCATTCAGAAACGGTTGCTACAACACAAAGATGAATAAATGAAAGCATAGAAGGGACAGTCACACATAACTAGCAAATGTGAAAAGGTTACAACAGACCATGCCTGAATTACGTTGAAAGACTGAGAATGAGGTGGTTAAGTTGAGTCAAGAATTGACATCATAGCATTCAAGGCATTCTCATGCATGCTCCGTCCTTATCTTCAGCAGCTAAAATAGAGTTTCAGTACTGATGGTACTGGTCACAAGCTGGTTATATGTCTGTCTTGCCTTTCCTCTGAGTGTATTGAGCCAACCAGACTGTCTGTTTGCACCCAGATGCCTCATTCTCTCCAGGCCATAATCTTGTTTACTGATTCCGTTGCTTGTTCCTAAAAGGCCTTGACCACATCTGCCTTCTCATGTGTCAATTCACCACCTAGTGGTGCAGATCCAGCCAGCCTGTCTGCCTGTTCATTATCCAATATACCGGCATGGCCTGGAGAAAAGATACAAAGTATGCACACTACCCGCGACCTTTCCAGTGAAGCTTGCCACTCTGCTCAAAGCATCCCTGTCTTCACATTTCTCAGCAAACTTTCAGAGTTTGTTACAATTACGACATGTGTATGTATCTTGTTCTCTAGACCCATAGAGAGCTGCAGTTACTGCCTCCACCTCCATTCTCATGCTAGATGTTGTGGTGTCCTATGCCAGGCTGTCTTGCACTAAAGATTTTCCATTGGCTTTCGCTATGAAACCACTAGGCACTTCGCTTTCCTCTTAACACTAAACCATCTGTATAGATAATCAAATCACTTGGGTGTGAATTGGTGTGAATCAACTGTTGGACTTCTACCTCGGTAGCACCTGCTGGCCACTCTCTGCACACTCGACCCAATGCGATCATAACCCTACACAGGTTAGGCTTTTCCGTTGGTACTCTGACCCACTCCACCTGAGAATGATGTGGTTTAGCCATCCAGCAAGAATGCAGCCAGACCAACCAGTATACACAAACTACAGAAGATCTTCTGGATGGAAGGTGAGAGGCAGACCATGGAAGAAACTGATAGACAGTGAGGCTGAATCGTGCAAAAGAATGAAGAAATATATCACTCAAGCCACACGAGAAGTGAAAGACAAGTATAGAATTCCATGACATGGGCTACAACTTTTGTGATGACAGTAGGTCAGTATGGACGATAGGCACGGTCATTGTTTTTAATCGTGACACTTTTTGTTGTTGTTGCTTCTGGCAAACGGTGGCCGTTGCATTTTTCTGCATTTGTAGACTGAAAGGATATAATTTGTCGCCCACCTACTGAGTGGAAAGCCATGGCATGATGTTGTGAGCTGTGATTTCATTTGTAATGTTTTTTTTTTATTATTTTTTTTTATTGTGACCAGCACAGTGTTGTAGATTTAGAAAATGGTGCCTGTCCTGTTGCCACAGAATTGGTGGTACCTTATGTAATTAAAATTGATGCCGTGTGCAACTGTTGATCTGTTTGTAACTGATGCTTCTGTCAAACAACAAACTGCATTTTTAATGTCGGACTGTTTGTGTTAGCACTTCTGATGGCTGCCTTATGCATGTGTGCTAGCAGATATGCTGAGGCTGTAATCTGGTCAATTTGTCCTTAAGTGGAGCGATGGATATTTCGTGTGTTTTTTTGGTTGTTGGCACAGGTGCGGAGCAACTATGGGGTGACCCGTTTGCTATGAAGTTAAAACTAAGGTTACCAGATTACTGGACTGATAATAGAAAGAACACAGAACTTTACTGTGATGCAGTTTCATTTATTGGTTCAGTGGCCCCTTAATGCAGATTGGATTGAGGAATAGACCTACTGTCCTCTAGCAAGTGTGTCATAAAAGGCACCTAGTTAGAAGTTTGCTGAAATCTTATGTTTTGGGCCCAAAGGTCCGATTTAGCAGCCCAGTTGTAAACCACAAGACAGTGTGCCCAGTCCTTGTTTTTGTTTGTTAGATATGTCAGAAATTGAGAAACAACAAAACAGTTTCTGGTCAGTCTCTAGGTACCAGATGTTGCTATGGATTCCCTAAAAGTCTAGGCATATCTGCCTGAGAGGTGAGGAACCAACAGTCTGCATAAAGTGAAATAGTGGCGCACACACAGAACTCAAGTTTTGGAACAAGATCAAAATGCAGAAGTGGAAAAACAACCAGACCTCCCACCGAAGTTTACAGCCAATGAATACTTTTTAAAAAAAGGAAAGAAGATATGCTAATAAAGGATTTCTTGCTGCATTGTTCATTTCTTTTGGATTATGGTAATATGCAGCTGACAAGCTGAAACCATAAAAACTTCAAATACTTAGGATTCAGCTGACAAGCTGAAACCATAAAAACTTCAAATACTTAGGATTCAGCTGGCAAATCAGAAGATGAGATCACTGAAAGATTTAACAAATTTGAACTAGGGATCAATATCATAGCACACGGGTCGTAGCCCATATGTGCTCCGTTCAACTTTTAACTCGAGTCCAAAGTAGCTCAGCACAGTGCACAGGCTCTGTAGCATGGCGAGGATCCTGAAATTCTTTGGGTAGATTTTTAACTCCAGATTTTGCCCGGGCAGCGCCCTTAGGCTACTCTTTTTGATTTCCAACTGCCAAGGAATTTTTTCCCTCGCTTTTAACAATACACACGGGCGTCCAATCTCACTACCCGGAGACCAGAGAAATGACTAGAAGTCCACATGAACAGAAACAATCCCAGCCTTCACCAGGGTTGGAACGTGGGACCTCTAGCACTCAAAGCAGATACGAGAGACTATGCAGCCCCCCGACAGATGTAACGGAGCAGCACATCAACTCATTGGGCAAGTGGCATCAGTACAATGAAACAAACAGGTGTCAGTAGAAACCAAAAGAGCACTCTTCTTGTCAACCATATGCTATCAATGCCAGACCTGGATAAAGAGAACAAGAAAAAAGAAAAATTACAACTGAAATGAGATTCCATCACAACAGCTTGATCTGAAAATCCATAAAGGAAAGACATAGATAATGAGAATAAATCAGGCAAATAGTAATGTGGTTTCTCTTAATGGCACTCCACTGCAAAACATGGAGTCATACACCTATTTGAGCAATATTGTAGATAAAGATGGAGGAACTGATAGAGATATTAAAATACAAAAGGCAAGAGGGGCTTTCATAGCACTAGGAAATTTGTGGAGGTCAAAACAAATTAAAAGAAATACTAAACTAAAAATGTTCAATTCTTATGTCAAATCAGTACTATTGTATGGGGCGGAAACATGGAGAACAACTAAGGCAATTACTAATAAATTACAGACATTCATTAACTGGTGCCTGCGCAGAATAGAGGGAATTGAATGGTGTGATAGAATAACTAATGTAGAGCTTTGGGAAAGAACTAAACAGGCTCCAGTGGACCAAGAGGTGAGGAAAAGATGCTGGCATTGAATAGGACACACACTGAGAAAACAGGAGAACAGCATAACTAGAATGTCTTTGTATTGGAACCCACAAGGGCATAGGAATAAAGGAAGGGCAAAAAACACATGGAGAAAGATGGGGAGAGCTCCGTGTAATGACGAAGGATAGAACGACTTGGTTGAGGGCCTATGCTCCATTGGGGGATAGAAAGGCAGAAGAAGAAGAAATGAGATTCCTATGAAGGGCTCTTAATGTAACAAGAAGAGATAAGATCAGGAATATGGTGAAATCCAAAGGAGAATGGGAGTAGCGGCAGCTCTGGGTTTCATGAGAAAACAGGAAGAAGCCCAATCATGCAGAGGGAGTAACAGAGTTGCTGGCAATCCCCATCTACAATGGGCAGTTTCCTGTAAATTGTACTTCACCTCAACACCGCACAGTACCACAGGGTCGAGATGAGATGAAGAAGCAGAGTCATTTAACTTTTCATGAACGTTTTATTGTATAGTGAATTGTGTGCATGCTTCCTTTCCAAAGAAACCTCTCTCACCTTCTGCAGGTAGCTTTGATATTCTGGTGTACACAGACAAGGGATTGGAAGTGCCGGAAGCTTGGGGAGAGACTGGGCCCCATTTCATTACCAACTCGGAAGAAGTGCGACTGAAGTCCTTCTCCACCAGCATACATACAGTCAAAGCTGCCGTTGCCTTCAAGAAGTCGGATTAGATCGTCTTAGTGACATTTTTGTCTTTTGATACCGGAGAACGTCTTGGTTTTCCAAAAAAAAATCTCTAGCTTTTGTTCTCTCCCTCTCTCTCTCTCTCTCTCTCTCTCTCTCTCTCTCTCTCTCTCTCTCTCTCTCTCTCTCTCTCTCTGTCTGTCTGTCTGTGTGTGTGTGTGTTTCCTGCCTCTGTTTTCATCCCTCTCTCTGCCTGTATCTTTTTTTCTGTGTCCAAGCTGTCTGTATCTCCACCCGTCTCTTCCTCTCTGTCTCCTGCTTTCTCTCTGTGTCCCCCCCCTCCACTCTATTTTCCTTTCTTCTCTGTCTTTTCCTCTTCTCTTGACTCTTTTTGCACATAAACAGCCATCTATAGCTTATAGATGTATCAGTTCTCACTCTCAACTTCACCTAAGCCCCCATTGGCTTGATCTGTTTTGACATACAACTATACAAATGTGACAGAAGCACCATTCCTTCCTTTCTTCTTCTTTGATCCACCTGTCAGAAAACAAAAATCAGGAGACCACAATGAAAGCTGTTGTGCAGTCCATATAGCTTTGTCTTGATTGAGGCAGGAAAAGGCTAGTTTGCTTCTGTTAGCAGCGTACAGATGGCAGAAGTCTCACAGTAGTTCAACAGTTAACATAAAATCCTGGTACTGCAGATGCAGTTTTGATTAAGTCTGTATTTCAACCTTTTTTTTTTTTTTTTTTTTCAAAGTCTTGTAGATCAGGTTCTTTCATATTAGATCTTATGTTATTCCTTGTGGTTTGAATTTGTTTTCTTTTCTTGTAGTTAGATCTTCTGTTCTTTCCATGTAGTTATATCTTAGATTCCTTTCTTGTAATTGGATCCTGGTTTCTCTTTTAATTGGATCGTTGTTCTTTACTCATAGCTAGATCAGGTGCTCTTTCCTCATAGCTAGATCTTGTGTTCTTTCCTCATAGCTAGATCGTGTGCTCTTTTCTCATAGCTAGATTGTGTGCTCTTTTCTCATAGCTAGATCATGTGCTCTTTCCTCATAGCTTGTGCTCTTTTTTTCTCATCGTGTAAAATCTCATAGTGATTTGTGTTTTTTCCTCATAGTTAGATCCTTTGTTCTTTCCTCATTAGCTAGATCATGTCTTTCCTCATATCTGTGTTCTCCTCATAGCTAGATCGTGTCTTTCCCTATAGCCAGATCGTGTGTTCTTTCATCATAGCTAGATCGTGTGCTCTTTCCTTATAGCTAGATCGTGTGCTCTTTCCTCATAGCTAGATCTTGTGTTCTTTCCTCATAGCTAGATCGTGTGTTCTTTCCTCATAGCTAGATCGTGTGCTCTTTCCTCATAGCTAGATCGTGTGCTCTTTCCTCATAGCTAGATCGTGTGCTCTTTCCTCATAGCTAGATCGTGTGCTCTTTCCTCATAGCTAAATCGTGTGCTCTTTTCTCATAGCTAGATCGTGTGCTCTTCCCTCAGCTAGATCGTGTGCTCTTTCCTCATAGCTAGATCGTGTGCTCTTTCCTCATAGCTAGATCGTGTGCTCTTTCCTCATAGCTAGATCGTGCGCTCTTTCCTCATAGCTAGATCGTGCGCTCTTTCCTCATAGCTAGATCGTGCGCTCTTTCCTCATAGCTAGATCGTGCGCTCTTTCCTCATAGCTAGATTGTGCGCTCTTTCCTCATAGCTAGATTGTGTGTTCTTTCCTCATAGTTAGATCGTGCGCTCTTTCCTCATAGCTAGATTGTGTGTTCTTTCCTCATAGTTAGATCATGTGCTCTTTCCTCATAACTAGATCTTGTGTTGTTTCTTCCTAGCTAGATCGTGTGCTCTTTCCTCATAGCTAGATCTTGTGTTGTTTCCTCCTAGCTAGATCTTGTATTATTTCCTCATTAGATCAATGTTTCTTTGCCTGTAGTTACATTGTTTATGCTGTCAGTGTGCATACTGAGAAAAACTGTACCTGGTGTACACTAACTCACCTCTGTCTCTCTCCTGCTCCCCCTTTGTTTTCCTCACACCCCCTCAATTCATTCATTAGTAATGTTTCCACTGTGCCTTTTCTATAATGACATTAATGTTGATATGAAGGAATTGATTTCCTCCTGTAATGACACACAATTACTGACCTCATAATGTTGTTGAGTTATTTTTGCTTCATGGCAACCATATTTTTTAAGTTTGTTTCATAGTTTTCATATAATTCTGAAATTATTCAATGTTTTATCATGTATCTTTGTTTGAGACGGCAAGAAGTAGACCTTATGTCTCCTTTGACGCCAAAAGCGCATCTTTTTCAGTCCCACGAGGTCCTGGCTAATGCTTAAGGGAGTCACAAATGGTCATACTAAACTCATGGGTATACTATGCCCAGAGGGTCCAAGTGTACAACCCGTGCAGGGAATAGATATGTTGTCAGAGTCCCTCATTTAACATCTTTTTCTTTAGCATTTTTGTATTTTTGTTTCCCCCCTTTTTTTTGGTGGCTTTTAGGGGGTGGTTGATGAAGCTGCGGAGCTCATGCTTTGTGTGATGCTCTTGCAAGGCTACTAGCCGTTCTGCAGACAGGCCCGGGCTATATGGGATTAAGCCTAACGCAGCCACGGTGATCCTGTCACTTTGAACCTTATTTTTTTCTTCAAAATGTGGATTCGCCGCACCCACACAGGGAAATTCTGGAAATACAGTACTGTGTAATAATTTATTTGATTAGTCATGGTCGAGGTTTCAACATGGCTGCAGTTGGGTCACCCCATACTTGCTCCGTTCCTGTGCCAGTGAGAAGTCCCAGTTGAAACACTAGTGCACAAACAATTATTCCCGGCACAACCCAGACATATGCGCGCGCAGTAAATGCATATGGCATCTGCTAGAGGTGCCAAAGCCAACAGTTTTTACCAGAAATGCAGTTTGTCGTTGATGGAAGTAGTTGGGCACGATAAGTTGGCTATACACACGTAGCATATTTTTACCTAATGCAGTTCACCAGCCCACACATAAGCTGGCTTCTGGGCCATATTGAATACGATGGCTCAACCGCTGCACAAATGAAAGGCATGCATATTTGTTATAGTGGATAGTTAGCTGTCTTGTCTTTATTTGCAGGCCTGTTACTGTTAATTGCTGGCTTAATTGACAGGTGTAAATATTTTTTTTCATCTTTTCAAAACTTTCTGTGGTACAATAAACAAATGCTGTTTCTATGAATTTGAGTCGTGTCAAGAACTGATTTCATGGCACTTGAGGCATTTTCATATTCGCTCCATCATCATCTTCAGCAGCCCAGTTCAGAGTTCAAATTCCAAAGGTGCCATTAGCAATGTAATTATGTGTTCGTTTTGTCTTTTCTGTGAATGTAGAATACACTGCTCGCTCGACATTTATCTCTCTTCGCTTTAAATATCTGTTTGCACTTTTGCAGTGTTTACTTGATCCCCCAGAGCCTTGTCCTGCAAGAGTCACCATCCAGTTCTGCGGCAGCAGCCAATCTTTCTGCCTGTTCATTTCCCTGCATACTGGAGAAAATATCCAAAGGGCAGTAATCACTAGGGAAATATTGCCTGTTACCAATTTGTCAAATTGGCCGCATAAAATAATCTGCCTTCATCAGGGATTGAACCCAGACCGTGCTGTTACATGACAAGCACACTAACCTAGTCACCTCTGCTACTTTTATTACCTTCTTTCACATCGTACTGTTTTGCCCGCTACACGTCACATAGAGCTTGCAGTCTTTGTCCACTCTGCACTGCCCTTTGAAATTTCATTATCATTGATGGAAGCCACTCCAGTGGCTTTGGCCTGTTTCTTATGGTTCATCGTAGGGTTTCCTTTGGGCGTCCTGGTCTGCTCAGGCCATTTGCTTGTTTGCACGTATCTGGTGCGGACATTCCAAATGCCAGTGTTAGTATCTAATTTCGAGCTAATCAGTGTGCATGTCTCACTGGTGGCCTGGAAAGAAGAGCTGATGGAAGAACAGATTCTACAAAATGAAGACAAGATGTCATCTGCGAAGATTGATACAAGACACTGAAAATACATTGGCTATGAAAGCTAAATAGCAAATATTTTAATACTGAAAGTAATTATTAAATATATACACTAGGGGTGGGTGTCGGCTAAGTTGATGCAAATGCTTCGTGATGCCGGGTTCGATCCCAGCTGCGAGCCACGTGCCTTGCGTTGGTTTCGATAGTGGTATCAAGAAAGCCGGCGGCCCAGAAAGCAGTGGCAAACTACTGGACGTAAATTTGCCTAGAGAAACCACACAACAGCCAGAGGCTGTTAGGGCTGGTTCTGCAACGTCCTGTAAAGGATACACAACTAACCTTTTAACTAGGGGTGGGCAACCTTTTTTTTATTTGGAATTCCTGACCATGTAGACCACTCTCAAAAATGTGTTATAAACAACACTCAGATTTCCTAACAACTGAGAATACATACAAAGACAGCAAATCAAATAGTTTGCCCACTTGTAGAGAATGTCTTGTGATGCTATACCATACAAAGCATATACCAAAAGAGGATAACGTTGAACAAGAGGTAGACCAAGAACAAGATAGGAAGATAACATCAGAGAAACTCTGCAGCACCACAGTGTGTCTATCGTCGAAGCTCGACACCTGAAACGATAAAAGAGGATGTTGAGAAGAATAAATTATGCAATCTGTGTCTAACTTTAAAGTTTTTTTTAGAGCGGTGACAGTTTTCTGTAGTACCGTCAGGCTTAAGGCCGTCATCACAACTACCCTTACTTGCTCTGCCATCTCTCTCTTTCCCAGTTCGCGTTTGTGATCTGCCTGGCCTGGGGGCCTCACCATCAGATCTTTCTCATTTTTGGCTTTCATGATGAGTTTCTTGGAATAGTAATGCGGTAGTTAACTACGGATTGAGTCGTGGACTATCTCTCAGTCCTTAAGAAAGAGAATAGAGCCTTTTGAGCTGAAATGCTATAGAAAGATTCTCAGAATATCTTGAACAAAGAAGATGAGACATATTGACATCTTAAAAGATCTGAACATCAA